TTTTTTTCGTAAAAAATTTCATTTTTTTGAAAATTTTGGCCCATTTGACCTTGAAGTAAAGGTCAAAGGTCAAATCCAAGGGTATATTTGAAATCTACACATATGACTTTTGGAAAGCCGTCTATAGAAATTTTTCCCATAACTCCTTCCGTAGGGTAGATAATTAGCATTTAATTTTGCCATTTTTAGACAAGGGTGCATTGCAATGAGTGCCACACCCAGACCCCAATACCGACAAAGCCCAAATTTTACGTGGAACGAGTTGAGATTATAGGTGACCTAAATCCATGAGATGGGTATGGGGGGCCTTACCGTCTAGGAGGAGAAGCGGTAACGGTAGCCGTCCGGCGGAGCCGGCGGAACCGGCGGAGCCGGCGGAACGATCCGGACGAGACCGAAACCATGTGTACCGCCAGCGCTAACGCTGGTGGTACAATAATAGTAATCAGATTTTCAGGCAGATGATATACATCTGTTGACTACACTCACCAGTGGAATAATAAAAAGTACACTTAAAAAGGCAGAATTGCCTGTTGCTCTCTATTAAAGCTCTTGCCAGTACTGAATTAAATGAAATACTGTCCCCCCCCCCCCCCCAAGTATACACATTACCTTTTATCTGTGCTAGCACCTCTGCTAAATATTTTTTGAGTGTGTCATCTGTTGTGACAAGTAGAGTGAGCCCATACTTTTGACATCTGCTGAAAGTCTCTGGTGGGTAAATGCCTCTCTGGTACAATATACTGTTGATGCCATAACCTGGGGATAACAAAAAAGACCTACGTATAGTACCATTCATTTTTTTTTTTGCAATTGTTCACACATTTATAGGCCCTACCTCAAATGTGCTAGTTATTTTTTATTTATTTTTATATTTCCTAATCATTGTTTCCACTTTTGCCCAGTGTATCCATAATCTCAGTAAGATTTTTTTTTTTTCATTGAGCACAGAGCGGTGTTTATTCTTAGTGTGAAGATGATAATATGCATCACAAGTAAGTCTTGTTAAAAACTAGTGAAAAGGATATACTTCAGAGAAAGATTTTTAAATTCCCAGTGTCTAACAATGGATGCCAAGAATGGAGAATAAAGGGATTTAGTAGCAGTAAGACCCCTGATGAATTAGGCCTTTGAGAATATGATGATGATGATAATAATGATCATAATTTTGACTTTTCAAAACTTCTTGAAATTTCCTGGTAAATGAACGTGACAACACTGAAGAGCTAGATACACGCAATCACCATTTCCCCCGTATGAACATCTCTAAAACCGAGCACCACTTCATCTTAGAAGTGCAATTTAATCGCGGGTCACTAAGTGGATATATAAGTGGTCTTAGTCTTAGCCACTTGTAACTAACAATATATTAAATGACATTAATTGCAGCGCTTCAACCAGGGGCATGCGTCACATTATGTGGAGAATATCAGTGGATCATTGTTATTACTTAGTCCCACAAGCCACATGTCATCTTACAATCAAACTCCAATGCAAGCATTTAAAACGCGAGATATTCAATTTCAAGTGGAGCGGAGCCTCAACATTTGAGTGCATTTTCAAGGTTGTCATGTTTTTTCGCGACTGTATCAGTGATCAACTGCATGTGGATTATTATGCCAATTAGCAAGTCATCAAACAAAACGTTTAGCTTACTGAAAAACTCGGCAACAATATCGGTTGATCCTCTTAACGTGATCGCACTCTTTTGTGCTAGCTTCCCCGCCATGTTTTTAAACGCTAGTAAGTGAAAGACAATCTAATTGGTTGAAAATAAAACGGGGCTTTCAATTGGTTATGTCTTATCTCACCTAACACACTCTTGAGCCCAACTACTGCAATTACCTAAATTTGTTCGTGTTCTAAAAATATATATCACCAGTTTTATGAGGCAAACCTTTAATATTTCTATTTTGTTTGATCCAAACATCTCGATAAGTGTTGTTCCTATTTTTTGAATATCTTAAGGAAAATAGGACTTGAGTGATCAAAACAAACAATTGGCAATACTCCAAATTGACCAATTATATCCGAATACAGGGTAACGGTTGTCAATTTTGTTTAATGGATAGGCCTAGTGACACTTTTCGAATATATCCTAACCAACTATCGTTTATCATATTTCATTCCATTGAAATTGTTCTTGCATTTATAAAATAAAATGTGTCGGCCTTACATGGTTGATCATACATAATCTGGAAAGCAAGCACTACGGACTGTGCACAGGAAACAGCTGGGTAGTGGGCAAGGAAAGTAGCCCTAACATCAAAAATTCATATTTTTAAGTGTATAATGAAAAATCTAAAAATTGCTAAATAATTAAGAAGAAGATTAGACAAATAAATATGAAATCAACAATGCTGATTAAAAAGCATATTGGTAATTCTTCATGATTGAAAAATCCTATGCGAGATGCGTTTGGATATAATGTTTATACCAGTACCCTCTAAAGACAAAACGATGCAACAACTAAATTATAATGTGTATATGTTGTACTTTATTTAATTACATCACTTTTAGTACATGTTGATGGCCTTATGCATTTAAGCGTTACAGTTTCGGTAGCATTGGGATGAACTACATGTAGACAGTACGCATTTCTCAACAGTAAGAAGCCGGTGTGACAGGAATGGTAGTCCTAGGAATGGACGTTCGGGGTCCCCTATGATCAGCACAGGTTAGGGTTAGTCAGAGTATTAGGGGTTAGTATTTGGGACGAATGCCACCTGTACAAAGTAATGGGGAACGGACTACTGTTCCTAGCGGACTACCATTCCTGTCACACGTTGCACCTCAATGTCTCTGACTTTTGACCGACTTTTATTCAATAAACGTTCAATTTCTTTTGCTCCAAGATTAAGTAATTGCTTTTCATTTTAAATGCTGTTTACATATTTTACATAATTAAGATTCAACCATTCGTTTACCAAATTATATGAAAAAATTAACAATTCACAACAAATCGCTTTTTTTAAGAAACACCAATCATTTTCTGTAACAGAAGAATTAGAGACCGTCGATATTCTGACAAAATGAAAATATTCTAGTTTTTATTTTGTAACAAAAATCTGGGTGGTCAATATCACTTCGTATCGATATCTTTGCGATTTGAAACTTAGAGGTAAACACGATTTTAAAATTTGAATATGCCAGTTGTAAAGCTTGAACTTAGTACCGTGCTATTTCACCAAAATTTGAAATATGATTTATGACTACAAGGAGGCAATCTTAGAAATTAAGTCAAGTCGCGTGCCTTGCTCAGCGTTGAGGATGATCATACTAGCTTAATCTTTCACAACTGAAATGTAAACATGTTTTAAACACTGAACCGTTGGCCTGTTACACGACCATGGATACCATGGATACATGTCGTTTGCGGCAAGAGGTGGCGGTGTTGCTAAAACTACTCATTTGGGTCCAAGCCACAGGGTCGAATGAACTCCTGACCTCTTTCGTGGAACCATAAATTTGAAACTGGAAAAAAGATAAAATAAAGAAATGGAGAAATAAATGTTCTAATTCAACACTCTTATCCTCCTTTTACCAATGTATCCAAGGCATGATCTCTACATTTAAAATATTATTATTATTATTATTATTTACTAATTTATTATTCTATTTATTTATCAATTTACCTTTTGCACACTTTTGTAATAGAGTACATCCGTAACACTGTGCATAAATAATTTTTATGCTACTTTGGCGAAGACACTTACCCCATTTCTGCCCTAAAAGAACAGGACAGGCCGCGTGCTTTGTTTGGAAATTGCTTTCACCATTTTTTAAATAAGTTAAACCAAAAAGCTGCACCTCCCTAAATCAAATATAGAAGAATTTAAATCAAATTGTTGCTTTTTTTTTGTTCGAATTTCTGATTCTTTGATGAAACTGAAAACATTTAGCACATAATTTTATTTCATCTATTCATTAATTTTTTCATCTTATGTATTTATTTTCCTTCTTCCACTTTTTTTTTTTTTGGGGGGGGGGGAGGGGTTACCTTATTAGGTGGGACTCTTACTCCAATGCGGACAAACGCTGTGGCGCCCCCAGCTTCAACGTCGCTCATCTAAATAAAATATACTGTATATGTGACTAAAGTAAGTATGGATAAAGAGTAGACCTGAAAAATGATCCCTCTGATAGCCTTATTGTATCTAATTTTCGGTCTATATAAAAAAAATGCAGTAACTCGCATAATCCTCTATAACACAAAAAAGTAAGAAATTTCTGAAGAAAGAAACTATCAAGCACAGTAAGGAGCAAATAATAGTGCATAGCTCCACGTGTTTAAATTACATATGGTTCTGGTGTCCCTACTAAGGGTTAGCATTAGTTTACATGCAGTTTTGAGATACCATTACCCTGTGTGTTTCGACATTTTAAAGACAAAGCTTACAAAGTACTTACATAGTTTATCCAGGTTGCTATTCGATTCCCTCTGTATTCTTCAAATGCATCGTTATCTCCTTTCTTAGAATGAAAACAAAGGAATGAAACAAAGAAACCATTTTCAAAATATAATGTAGAAATTGTAAATCACTGTTGCTCTCTGACACCTTTTAGATTTTACAAAGTGCTGGTAAAAGCCTTGAAACGCTGAGCACTAAATATATAATGTAGAAATTGTAAATCACTGTTGCTCTCTGACACCTTTTAGATTTTACAAAGTGCTGGTAAAAGCCTTGAAACGCTGAGCACTAAATCTAACGTCACACAGTCCAAACATTTTGGATAAAATACTGACCTTAGCGCAATCTAGATGTAGTGCATAATAACCACCCAGTCCGTAATTGGCAACCTAAATGAGAAATTTTGTATCAACTGATTTAGTTAGGAAACAAAACTGATTCTTAAAACCTTGGGTTTAGAATACTAAAAAGCTAAGCTTAACAAATAAGAGCACACCTTAAATGATATTATAAAACTTAACCCTTGTGAGACATTAAAACTTTCGAAAGTCCAGTAGTGACCATGTCCGTGACGTGTTTTAGACTGACCTGTAATGCTTCTGCATTTTCTAGAGACAGTCCGGTCACATCTGATATCCTCTTGCGCACCCTCTCGATCATAGGGTCGTAGGTATCATCAAACCATGCGCTTTAAAAGTGAAGAGAAAATAAACGGAGAGAAATTACATGCAGACCCACATGCACGCACGCGCACACACACACACATACACACACACACACACACACACACACACAAAGAAAAAACACTTATATGCTGAAATGGTGATTATAGCTTATCAATATGTTTGTTTCTCTCACACTTGATAAAAATCTAACTAAAGTTTTTTGTTTGGTTTTAGAGAGAAATAAATAAGGTCCCGATAAACTTAGTTTATCTCACCTTTTACTGATTCTGTACCGTGCGGGTTCATATCTGTGTGTGGCCACGTTTCTTACAGTAGCACGTTTTAACTAGAAAATACATGTACATAACATTAAAATTAAAGAATTGAAACCAAGCCAAATATAACGCCCTGACGAGGTAACCATTGATGTGCCAGTAAAGATTATCAATTTCTTTCTTTATATGTAAGTTACTTACATTAGGTCCGGCCAATTTCTTGATGACGTCCATTTCATATTCTGAGAGAAAATCGTGGTAGTATGTCAAAGTAGGGTTTAGGTACACTGTTTCTTGTTTAACTGGTCTCAGTAACAGAGAGGGCTTGTTGTTATGGAAATAACGGCAAGACAACTTGTGTCTGTAAGGGTTTTCCTAGAAATAATTAAAAGTTGGATAATTTTGTAATACGTATTTCGAACTCTTAAAACTAAAGCAGCATTTAATGCAAGGCAAGCAACTTTTTAGCGGTAGGTTCCAAGCCCGCACAAAAAGCAAATTGCCCCACTATCAACTCCAACATCACGATCTTAATTATCTTAGAGTTTCAATTAAACTGCCTTGAAACAAAACGAATCTTCAAACTGTTCACCCCACCATAATTTTGTCTCCCCTGCAGATGGCCTCGTAGTCGAGATCTTCAGATTGAAGATCACCTGTTCTGGGATTGTTTAAAGGCGGAATATCTTCCAAGTCGCTCAGTTTATTAGCCAACTTGTCCTCTAGATACATCTTGTTTTGTATGCCTCTTGGATGGTTTGGGTCTTTGAAAGATACAATGAAGAGTGTTTCGCAATACAAAATAAAGAAAATAAGGTAAACAAATAAGTATTTAAATTGGATAGGCCCATGTCTGACCAAAAATGACATATACAGTACTGTAGTTATCATCTCGAGTAGTATACTAACTGCTTCTATTCCATTATACCTTGTTATTATAAACAATCGTCAATTGAATCAAGTAAATTTTAATAATATTTTCAACTTGTAAATTGTGATATGGAGTGCATTTTATTATAATAAATCGTTCCAGAGAATTATTAGGTCAATGAGACAAAACGTGTTGAAGATGTGAAATGACAGCGCACCTGCTGCTAATAGCTCCAGCGTGATATTGTACGCACGTTTTAAGTTTCCTTGCTGAAAATATTAATTTTAGAAAAACAATGGTTACTTATGCCTCACCAACATGGCAGGAGAGTGATATAAAGTGCACCTTTTTAAAACGAATTTTATTTTGACCTTGGTGTTTGTTTTATTATTACCAATCATTTTAAACACAAATGCACATCCTGCAGTTCATAAAAAAAGAAAAACGAACAGATATCTTTGGTCAATCCTACCTGCACAAGTGTATAAACAAGGTGGTCTAATATGTCTACTTTGTCTGCAGTTTTGTTGTCTTCTCTCTGATACTCCTCTAAGGCTTGTAGCATCCAGGACACCACGTGGTGCCACGCCCCTTCCAGGTACGCATGGCGCCCAATTAAGAAACAATCCTCGGCTGAAATAAGTTGAAGGGCCATGATTGTCATTTGAAGTTAACATAATCAGATATCTACAGCCATCATTTTTTTTTTTTTTTTTTTTTGGCGAAGCAGTAAAAAACGATACTAGGACTTGACAACAAAATGGTGAAGACCGTTTGCCAGTGATATCTAACGCTTCCTTCTATAAAACATTAAACAAATATACTTATATTCGTCATTGTGATATTGTGAACAAAGAAGAATAAGAAAGTAAGAGTGACTCACAATAATGTTAATTTTTTGAAAGAGTAAAGTGTTTAAGTCTTATAATTCACAACTGAAAAAAGAACAAAAAAGAAAGAAAGAAATAGTAATAAAAAACCTGGAGCCTGCAATATGATTCGTCTTTCTCAAAATTCCTGTCAATCATGTCCTTTTCTCAAATATTGCCTAACCTGACATTCTGTTTCCTCTCTTTTCGCCTATCCTCCCAGACGCGATGGCTGATGTTGGAATGTTATAAGTGTCCTGAAGTCTGAGCAAGGCCGCTATTGCACCCGTTAAATCATCCTCGTCTGGGAGACATTCCATTTCTGAACCTCGAATTCTCTGAGAAAATTCTGAATTTTGATAATTAAAAACAACCGCCTTAAAGAACGGCAACTGAATATTAAGTTATTACGCCGCAGCCAGCAAAGTCTGTTATCTTACCAGTGGCTAATTCATTAATAAAGTATTCTGATTCATTAATGCTTGAGACCAGTCATATCATGAGTTTTTTCCTTTCTGATCCTACATACATGTACAAAATCCAAAAAAAAAAACCGTTTAAGTAAAAATATACCCATCTTTAAATAGGCAGATATTAATGCGCGCTTGCTACAGAAAAATGATTGAATAATTTTTGTAAAAATAAACCGTGACTAGTAGCCCTTACCTGTGGTATTGGGTCCAGCCAGTTGATTTTCAACCTTTTGCCAATCAACGGTCAATTTTTTTAACAAAAGATAAGCATTGACTGGGTTGCCCAAATGTTCTTCATATTCATCTAGAGCTCCGTTGCTGTGTTCTTCAAATTCATCTGCCAAGCTGACACATAAGAATATTGACAAAATTGTATCATTGTAAATACCTGTTCCTTTCGTGTTAGAAATAATTAGAAAAAAACATTAACGAAACTTAATCCAACAAAGAATACTAATGTTGTGGATAACAAAAATGGGGTGAAGTAAGGTTATTCAAGCGAAATAATACATTTAGGAAAAGCCCATGGGAAATCATGAAATGATCTAAGGTTGAGTTTGTGGAGATTATAGATATATACCCCATTACAGTTTCACATCATACAGTTTATAGGTGGCATTGCATTCTGCTTTGTGATACATAGTTGTCTCATTCAGTTGTATCTGTTAGCAAAATACAATAAAATTCCACTAGAAGCCACAGGCGTATGCACTTTGATTTTAATATGTAATATCGATTCTTATAAATAAATAAATAAATAAATAAATAAATAAATAAATAAATTAATTAATAAATAAATAAATATCTGTTATCCATTTAACAGTTGGGTACTGCTGATAAAGCCTAGCTGTCACCTCGTTTCTCCTGATTAGAAAGTTTTTCTTTCAATATGTTTCTATGTTATCAGAGGATCCGATTATAAGCGTTCTCTACTGTTAGTTCAAAGCATTAGACGGCGGTCGGTCCCTATGTAAGCAGTTTTTAAGTGATTTAACTAAAATGTATATTTAACATTGTTATTTTTTAACCTATACACTCACAAAAATGATGGGATATTTCAAAGAGAGACATCCTCATCTGCTCAATTTCACTAAAGCAGCTTTCACAGAACTACTGGCTAAGGAAGTTACCAAGTAACCGAAGTTGTACAATTCCCTTGAGTAATGCATTTTAATTAGGTAGCGTTGCATACCGTGTAGGAAAACATAAAAATATTGAAAGGGACATGCAAATTTTTATCCCCGTCGCTGATGTGTTCGATTGCAAGTCAAGAGGTTCCGTCAAGCAGTTTTGAAGAACAAGATTAATACAAACTTAGAGATGCAATATACGCTTTGCAATATATGCTTTATTCAATTTTAGGGGTATATTTCAGTAAAATCCGATTGTTTTCTATTGGCATGTAAGTCAAATAGTACAGTGTCACCCTCTAGCGACATGCCATGAACACTTCTCGCTAACAGAGGTATTCTGGCATATATCGCTCCGATGACAGTGTATTATCTGATACATAATGTCACCTGTATCTCAAAGAAGAGCTGCATGAATGTTGCATTTTCTCCTAGTTAAGCCATAATAAAATCGCGATTGATATTCTGTCGGAATATTCCATCACTCTCACCAAAAGTCCCTGGGTTCGTTTAAACGCAAGTCTATATCTCCTCCACGCTATTAAAATTGCCATTACATCCTCGGAGTTAATATAATACTAGTAGCTATAGGTTTCCCTTTAAACCTCACAAGTGGAACTAATGACCTTATTATAGAGTTACAATGAAGTTTAAGGTGCTGACATATGATTAAAGTAGAAACCATAACCATTAACACACGTCATCATCCCATTTAGACAACTTTCTCTGGGTTCATTTTCATACACCGTTCCTCGCGGCTTCACTGACCTTTCACGTGAATTATATTCCTCATGTTGCTCGATCGTTGTGAAATTGAATAATTGTCAAACATTATATAAATTTTTCTCAATACCAAATTAGCGAATCAAGTTCAAGTGTAATTAGGAAATAACATCTTTAAACACCAATTTTTACAATAACCTCAAGCATTTGGTGCATGGTCTTATACTTTAAAAAGGCACAAGGACAAATTACTGAACGGAAATAAAGTACGCATTGTTATATAAAGCCATTATATAACATAAATATGTTATGTCTGAAACGTTAAAACCATGTTTAATGTAAAAAGGCATCGAAATTCGAGAACATAGTCATTGCCCATTATGGCACTAGAATGGCCATAAAAATCCAAAGAACAATCTGGAAAACGCGTTTGGGCATAGCGTTTTAAATTATCTAGTGCGATTAAAAAACGTTTCATGGGGTATTTTTGCAGCAACGATTTGCTTCCTATGTTTCATATAACAGTGCAATATAACTTTAAATCATGATCTAAGGTCGCTGTAAAAGAATAGCTTGTTTTCTGTTGTAAAATATTTAAAATGGTCTGTGAAATCTGTTTTATGTTCTTTCTATGTATTGTTGAAAAAAACTTGCGTTCAAACATTTAATAGTAGGCCAACAATTACAAGCGCTTGACCATTAAAAGTGCATGAGTGAAACGTGGCCCAGACAATCGTGCAACAGTTGGCAAATATTAAATATCGTAACATAATCAATAAAACTATAAAGCAAGAAGGATAATACTGCATGTATATAGTCTAGTATGTTTTTTTCTCCTTACCGACGAAGTTGTTGTAGCCTCCTCTCCTCTGTTTTGATGTGTTCCCTGAGCTCCTGGGCCACTCTTTGCTCGGCTATCAAAACCTTCTGCAAATCATTCATTGACGTGAACACCTCAGTTCCAGCAAGCCTAAATAGCTGCATAACCAGCCAGCAAAGTATACAAATGTCTACATTCATTTTATTCCAGTGTATCCTAAATCGTCTACAAAATTTGGCCAGTCTTCTACTCGTAACCTTCGTGAAGCATATGTGATCTAAAACAAGCAGCCCGAAGCTTAAACTATTTCCTTTACTTCTAGAATCAGAAGATAAGTGTATTAACATGTGAGTTATGGTTTGACCTGACTCAAGACATTTTTGAACGCTGCGGTTAAGGCGGCATACCTAACAAACTATCGACGCGGATTATCACTTTAGAGTCGTGTGAGTGGCCATTTAAATTCAAATTCGCCTTAATTTTCATTTATGTTTAAGTCATGCCAGGTACGCACTGTTATGCTAGGAAGGCTTTAGTTTGTAAAAACTTGTAATCAAAATTATTGAGAAAAAAGTCCAAACATACACAGCATCTAAATCGCCAAGACATCAATTTTATTCACAAAAAAAAAAAAAAAAAAGATTTGTATGAATGCCATTGAGTCTTCACGTGTGCCTCTCTGTGCAGCCTACATAATGTTGATCATGTAGTAGCATCTAGCCTACGTGACTTGCTGCACACGCGTAGAGACTTCATGGCTTCTAGGCATGGAATCGCATCAAAGTGGAATTGTTCTCGACTTCCATGTGGTTTGACCTAATACGACCGGACATTTATTTAACAATGTGCGTGCCATTCCCGTAGTTTTTCCAGACAGCCTTATTTAACATACAATCAACTATTCATTAGAATACAGCGAAAAATGATATCATTCATTTAATGATCACTGTAGGCCAATTATTGCATGCATAGTCTTTCCGCCCATTTTATAGTGCATCATCTAAAATCGTCTATACTCGGAAACTCTTCTCATACATATTTTACGATTTCTCATTTCAGTCGCACTACCTCCGGTGTCATTGACAGTGGGACGGACGAGTATAAGTCAGGCATTAATAGTTTATGGTTGGATTGAACTGATCGATTTGAATCTGAACCATCGACTGCATCACAAAACCAGATTATTGCCAGATAGTAAAGACATTCTTCCTGATGAAACTTTTTTACGTTGTATTTTAATTCTCGTTTTTTTCAAAACTTATATTTTATTGCCCAAGTGCCCTTCTATGTAGCTACCATTTTTCATCTGCAGTCATTGCATTTGTTAAAATTGTTCCCAAAAGGCATTGCACTCCAACTAGTCTTTCTTGGTTTTTTAAAAAAATGCAAAATTTTGCACTCAACCTTTTTCAAAACTTGATGCAGAGCAATTTCACTTGCAGTTTTGAAATAAATACAGACATATTGGCAAAATGTATATATTTTTATTTATTGTCACTGCAATATTCAGATTATATTCAAGTCCCCACTGGGGATAATCACATTCACCGATATCCTGTAATACTGCCAACCTCAGTAATAACATTTCAAATCCCTTACTTGACTAATATAGCACCATATTTAAGATAAAAAAATCTGTATATGCAACCATTTTCTCCTCCAAATAAACAAACCATTTCTATGGATTAATTCAAAGAGCTCATTAAATATTGAAAATATGTTGCTTCTATTGAAACAACAAGCACCTATTCTAATGAACGATCTGACTACCATACTACTTCTATCAACCACTTCTGAAGTATCTACAGATATATTAAAATAGTAGTAAAGAAGAATGTGGATTATACATTTGGTGTTGCTGAAGTGATATCTAAAAAGAAAGCTGTTGGTTGAAAACAGCTGTGCTTGATATGATTCAACTAACCAACCTTTAATGAAATTGCTTCATCATTTACTTAAACACTTTACCTCCATAAATAATTTAACTTTTATCATATATTGTCAATACCAAAAATATTATTCTGGTAACTCTTTTTATATTTTGATTCTAGAACATATGAATCCTGAAAGGAACAATGCATTGCTCCTCATAAATACAACATATACAATCCACGTCTCAATTGTCCCACCTCTTTTCTTACAAAGACTATATTACAACAATAATCTTCAAACTTGTAGTGATATTCAGAAACATATAAAATGCTTCAGTTAAATTTAAGCCTAGAAATTTGCATTATATTGTTCTGCCACAAATTTCCAATTATGCTTAGCAGCTTGCTATTTCCTATTGTAGTCAAGAACTAAAAGAAAGGTTATGATGAATTGAGAAATTACTAATGGTTACATTACTCCTTTAATAATGTTATAATATTTACTTTCAACAGAAGTCGATGCTTTTTTCTTTGCAATATAAAGCAATAAAAGAAATGCTATTTTTATGAACACTTCAAGTTGCACAAGACAGCAAAATAGTTACATGAGATTCAAAAATTGTTATTATGAAGCTTTTGATAGAAGTTTAATATTATCCAACATCTGTCATTCTAAAACAGAACAAATTGTTACAGAGAAAAACTAGGTGTTTCAGGACTCAGTTTTCTCTTCTTTATGAGAATTACTGTAACAATCATGCTTTTTATTAGTAAGCAACTCCCTCATCAGTTATGTGCTGTTTAATGCAGTCAGAACCCAATCTTTATACTTAAATGTGCAATTATTAACTATTTGAAATAACTACCAGTGGTTGAAAAACTTCAGGCTAAATGCTATTATTTACCTTTAAGGCTGATTGTTAAAATGAACAACAAAAATACTTTGTTGATAGAAAATCAAAGCCCAGAGAAAAAGCTCTGTTATGTGAAAAAACACCACATTATTTGGTAAGCTTAAAGCAGCAGCATGAATGAGCATTTTCATCTTCCCAATATTAGATATTGTGAATGGTGTGACCTATTTAAATCAAAGCCAAAAATAGAATTTTTTGGTGTGTGAACTTGTGCTCCAAGGATTGTAAGCTGGCAGAGCAATATCACAGCTAATAAATTGTTCTTGTCAAGCTCATCATCAGCTCAGCCAAAGTTTATGTGAACTTCAACAAAAAACATTTTGTTTCAGAGGCAGGAAGACCTTCAAAGGTAAGCATATCAGAAGGATTACCAATATACATGAAATATGTACAGTTTGGGGTTTTTCATGATGAAAAAAAAAACAAAATTTTCTCTAGCAGACACTACAAAGGAAGACAAAAAGAAAGCAGAAATGATTTCTGTAGAAGTTCACAGGTTCCTCAATAAACGGCTGTCATCTGATCTTCATTCATATGGGCTCAGGCCGCATGTTCTCACCAGTTCATTGCCTCGTTCATGAATCCATTTATTTGAAACTGAAAGAAAATATTTTACACTAATTATTTAAATCACAAAAAGGTTCTGAAATGTACATTTAACAAAATGCATCAATATACAAAAAATAACATGAAAAGAGCCCAGAACTCACACCATGTTGGCATGTGTATAGAATGGAATATCAACTTTCCAAGGGCATCATAATGACAAGTACATGGTTTTCTTGACATGTTATTCAAAACAGTAAGTGATGAACAATATGCTATAATACAACAGTTTTAACATATTTAAAAATATAGAAGAAATCTCACCCCATTTCTGTCCCACTAAAACTGGGCAAGCTGCATGTCTTGTCCTGAAGTCACCTTCTCCACTCCTGTATAGGTTGTGCCAAAACACAGCAGAACCCTGAACAAAGAACCCCACAAAGTGTTTTAACAAGTATATAGCCACCTTAAGTTGAAAACATGTGTCTTAATGGATATGCCTCAGAATAATATTATGGGGACAAGAAAAGTAATTTGAATTAGATATTGGTAGTGAACTTTAGGGGCTTCAAAAAAGATGCATTTTCAGTGCAACAATTCCATTTTAAATATTTATGCCCAATTCACAAACCAGCCGTCCGCACCTAATGACAGTAAAATGTTTATGGATACATCATGAATAATAAACCTACATGGGAAATGAAACTTGAAAGCTATAAAACTATTAGGCTACCTTTTTAGGAAAAACTTTGACCCCAATAGGAATAAACACTGTGGCACCTCCAGCAGTGACATCACTCATCTGAAATCCAATCAGTTTTAAGTAAGACAATTTCAAAAATTCAGATGTAAAAACTCCACATTATTGAATGAATACTATACATCTGATTTACTTATTATGAAGGACCTAAACCAAAAGTACACACTAAATGGAGCACACTTAACCAATTTGCTTATTATTTTATGCTGCTTTTTTACAAAAAGAAAAAAAAATAATAATGAAAACAACATTGATAAAACAATTTGTCCTGAAATCTAACATCTACCTCCTCAGCTCTGGCTTAGTGATCAAATCATTAATGGCTCCATCTAAATAGAATGCTGTTTGCTTTCATCAAACGAGCTGCATACAGATGCATAATACAATGTCTACACATCTGGTCTTTCATGTAGATTTTGCATAGATTGACAGCACTCCCCAATTATCTTTCAATTACAGTTAAATAAACTTCAAAGTAGATCCCCCACCTCATTTAAAAACACTGATACTTTATTTTTTTACCCTCTGTTTCAAAACAAACATTCTATCATAAACATTTCTCAGATTTTGTACCTTTACTAATCATTTGAAATGCAATACTACATTTAACTTTTACCAAAATATGTTTTTTCTTCTTACATAAAGGTATTCCTCTAATTTAAAAAAATAAAAAGAATTTTTGAAAAAAATTACTTTGAATAAATAAAAAGAATTTTAGAAAACATTAATTTCATTTAAATCATCAAAAAATCAAATAAAAATAAGAAAACAACTCACGTAGTTCAACCATGTGGCAATTCTATTGCCATGAATATAATCAAAGGCAGTCTCCTCCTGTTTCTAAATCAAAACATACACAATAATCCATTAAACCTCTCCAGACTGATCCAACACATGCACACAGCACACTGCCACCATGGGAGTGATGGTTCTTTTATCTGAGCACCAGTATAATATATACAATCATTTCAATAAATGATGAAAAAGTGAGCAATCTAACATTTCCATCATTCAAGAACAGATAGAAACCAGTACATACCCCATATACTAACTGCACAACTCTAAAGTATCTTACAATGCACTGCTGCTCAGATAAAAGATGCAGTAAGTAAAGGATGCAAACAACAAACAGACGGCTACTCTAAGCTAGGCTGGCTTGGTTGGGAATACAAGGCTACAGCCTGCAGCGCATTTTGTGATCCTTTCCAAAACACTATTCCCAACCAAGCCACTTACATAATTAAGCAGAGTAGCTATCCTGTTTCCTACTCTGGTATCAAAAGCACTAGATTCATCTTTCTGAAAACAAATGTGTTTTAAATTACTAAAAGCCATCAAGACATCTAGCCATTCCTTTTAGCTATTAAGAAGCCAATGGTTTTATTGCAACACTGATATATTTCAATTTGATGTAGTAAAAGGTAAAACGTGCAACTAATTTTAAGTGGTACAGACATAATTAGACTTAAGTGTTTGTAAAAATTCATTTTTGCTTTTAAATTCTTTAAAACTTTCAACTAGAATTTCTCTCATTATAACACCAATATAACCAACATACTGTTACCTATGACATAATCCAGAATTTTGAATTATTTTTAAATAGATTATAAAAAACATGCTTACTCTTGCAAAGTCAAAGTGAGGCTCATAATGCCCACCTATCCCATAATTAGCCACCTGAAAGAAAAAGAACAAGGCAGCAAAGCTGTCAAATGTACAGACAAAGAACAGAAAATAAAGACGCAAATAAGTGAAAAATTAAATTTTCACAAAAAACTGTTAAATTGCCAGAAAAATTTACCAAACAGACTGCGTTGCCTATTGAAGCTGTATGTTAGACCCATGTTTCTTTCCTGTAAGTTTGAGAACAGTAAGTGACATGATTTCCCTTAAATGGTCATCATAGGAGCAGTGCCCAAAATAGGGGTTTCTTCAAATTTTGATGCAACATTACATAATGTTTAACAGCATAATGACAATCAAATGTTATTAATAAAATAT